GCGAGCTAGGACAACTTTTAAGGAAGGTACAAATCGGTTTTTTCATCTTTCTTTACCAAACCCAAGTATCAATTCAAGTTTTATAAGGGTTCTGTAGACCATGATTTAGACTTGTAGCATGCTCTAAAACCTCCATAAAACTTGCAATGTTACTTGGGTAGAATAGGCAAATTTTTAGTCAACTTTGGAGTGTTCTAATTTCGTCAAATATGATCCTATTTTACATCTTCCAAGAGCATTTGACTGGAAAACTAATATTGTTTTACGGTGTAGCCACGAAAATAATTCTGGTCACCCGATACCGGAGATATACCGGGTTTCCGGAAGTCTTGTCTAACTTGCCAAATTTTTGATAAGATTTTATATATGATGCTGGTTAAAAATATATATTTTTAGTCAATACAAAGAAAGAAGAACTATTTCTAAAGCGAATCATATGTCAAGAACTAAAATCGGCCTATACTCAACCGAGATAGGGCCATTTCCCTGGAATCGGTTCTGGTAGAGACAGCTCTTTCTTCATGGTTTCTCGTCAATAAACTTTCGATAAACTTTAAATGCATCATTGACCACACTGGTCCCTCTCGGAACTTACGAACGTAGTTTTCCAGTCAAATGCTCTTGGAAGATTTAAAATCGGATCATATATGACGAAGGTACAACACTCCAAAGTTGACCAAAAATTTGCTTATCCTAGTTATTTTGAGTAACCCCTGTTTGTATGTTACACTCACAACTTTTACTGCGTACGTTCTACACAATTTATTTCTAAATGATCATCTCACTAAATGACTATTATAAGTAAAATGTCAACAAGATAGCTTATGTAACGTAATATCAAATTAAGACTGAACTTGGTGTTAAACTGCACCAGCTTTACTATGATCCGTTATAGGTATTTGAAACATTTTTGTGCCATTTTGAAAAATGAATCGATTCACTAAGATCGATTCTTGCTTCAAGATCGCCCAATGCTACTCGAGACTGAATGTGGAATACTTATGTTAGAGTCGGTGTACAATGAGTCACGCCAAGAGTGAAGCCAAGTCTACTTATTGAACTGTCAAACCGGCTACCTATCGTGCAAATTAAACAAACATTACGATGCTATGAAAGGTCCACGAAAGGTATTGCAATAAAATATAAAATATAATCGAAGAAATGATCATAAACACGTGGTGATAGTTAAATTGTCATGGGATACGTTTGGTAGCGATCAGTAGTGAGAACTTCTACTATTTTTTGTTGAGATGATTGGACAAAATCACTAATACAATGATTTACAACATTTTTTTGCTCGTTAGAAGTCATTTGAAGTTGATGTAGCAGTCCTCTGTTGCCAAGTGAAAAGAAATGGAATCTTTCGAAAACCATGATGCGAGTTCAACTGTTTTTCTCTTGGCGTGACTCATTATACACCGACTCTAACTTATGTAAGACAAAGTAATATGTATGGTACAGTTGTTGTCTTTTAGTGCTGTTTCATTTTACGCCGTAGGGGGGTGTCCTAGAATAGCTGACGGATAGGAAGTCCTTGTTCTTAGCTGTGGTCGTGGTTGTTGAGGGTGTTCAGACTGGTCTTGGTGTGGTGTGCAGGCAGTTGTCCTTATGGTGGGAGTTGAGGTATGACAGTAGGCATAATTGAGGGGTCCGCTTCCGTTATATCGATCGAGATCAGCTATGGCAGATTATGCACGAGTACGGATTTTCGGATGAACTAACGCGATTGGTCAAGGCGACGATGGATCGAATGATGTGCGTTGTTCGAGTATCGGGGACACTCTCGAGTCCCTTTGAATCTCGAAGGGGGTCACGGCAAGGTGATGGACTTTCGTGTCTACTATTCAACATCGCGTTAGAGGGTGTGATCAGGAGAGTTGGGATACACACGAGTGGCACGATCTTCAGGAAGTCCATCCAGCTTCTTGGCTTAGCCGATGACATTGACATCATAGCACGGCACTTTGAGACGATGGCGGAGACGTACATCAGACTGAAGGCTGAAGCTAGGCGGATTGGACTTGCCATCAACGCATCAAAGACAAAATACATGAAAGGAAGAGGTTCTAGGAAAGACAATGTTAGCCTCCCACCCCGAGTTCAGATTGACGGTGACGAAATCGAGGTGGTCGATGAGTTCGTGTATTTGGGCTCACTGGTGACCGCCGAAAATGATACCAGCAGAGAAACTCAAAGACGCATTATGGCATGGAATCGTGCCTACTTTGGACTCCGGAGGACGCTCCGGTCGAATAAAATTCGCCGCCGCACGAAGTTGACTGTCTACAAGACGCTGATTAGACCGGTGGTCCTCTACGGCCACGAGACCTGGGCTATGCTCGTGGAGGACCAACGTGCCCTTGGTGTTTTCGACCGGAAGGTCTTGCGTACTTGACGGAACGTGGAGGAGGCGAATGAACCACGAATTGCACCAGCTGCTGGGAGAACCATCCATCGTCCACACTGAAAAAATTGGGCGACTACGGTGGGCTGGGCACGTAGTAAGAATGCCACACGACGACCCAGTGAAAATGGTACTAGAAAGCGACCCAACAGGAACAAGAAGAAGAGGCGCGCTGCGGGCAAGGTGGGTCGACCAAGTAGAAGGTGATCTGTGGACCCTTTGCAGACTACGAGGCTGGCGAACTGTGGCCATGGATCGAGTAGAGTGAAGACGACTTCTTCGGACAGCAGAGGACAACAAGGCCTTAGCCTGATTAGTAAAGTAAGTAAGCTTCCGTTATATTTGAGATAACAGGCCTGTCTCGCGGAGGAAAGCTAGTAGTGCTGCTGAGCGGCAGGGATCTTCACTGAGGGCATTTCGGATGCTGCCGGGGATATCGAACAGGTTTCTAGCTTCTTGTTATTGCGGGCAGTGACATATGTATGAAGTGTTGCACCGAATGGTGGATCTGGCACAGTGGACAGGGTCGGTGAAATTCGCCGTTCCCGGTTATTTTATGTGAGATACGGGTGTGTCCTGAGCTCAATCTGGAGAACACCACTTGATTTTACGGCTAAAGAGATTGCGTAAGCCCAGTCAGTAATGGCTCCACGACTCCCATGTAATTTTGGATAGCCAAGTTTTCAGTTCCGGGCTTGGAACTTCTGTCGTGAATTTGCTCATTTGTCGTCCTGAAGATGCGAGGTGGTCAGCTTCGACGTTGCCCTGGATCCCGCAGCAACCGGGCATCCATGCGACGGTTGGGTGGAGCACACTAGATGATGGCTTGGATCCACGGGAGTGTGGGGTGCTCGGCGTCAAGGGCGGTTACTACGTTGGCGGAATCCGTGAATAGAATGAGAATAGCGACGTAGGTGACGGCTGCCTCGGCGGAAAAAATGTTACATTGGTCACAGAGGCGGTGGCACACGCTTACATCAGGGCCGGATACCACAATTCCAGCTATCCCTTGTGCAATCGAGACGTCGGTATAGGGGATCGTATGGTTGTTGTAGCGACGGTATATCACCGACAAACCGACATGAATGATCATACGAATTATACCGAAATTTTTGATCAAAGCACAAAACTGACATCTGCCAACGTGTTCGCTGAAAATATTTATCCTAGCCACACGAACACGCGTACAAAATGTATGAGTTGGTTCGTGTCTAATCTATGTCGGTCAAATTATTTTTATCTAGGGGAAATGGATGTAATGTCGGCCTAAAAGTCCCTAATTTGGGCCCATGCATAAATTCAGCAATCGACTAAATTTTCAATAGCAACCAAACATATCCATTAGTACCGTCCCAATGACCCGTTCATCTAGATAAAATTGATAAATAGCAGATTTTTAGCGATGGGCCCAATCTTAGATCCATAGGCCATAGAGCCATTTCCCCTATATAAAAATTTCTATGGTTTTGACAAATGGGATCGCTACACATTTGAATCGGCCGTTATGGATTCTCGGTCAAGAGTTAAGTTTAAGTTTCATGTCGGTTTGTCGGTGGGTATATTAGGTCCCTGTGTACTGGGGTAACTGCGAGAGGGTTAGAGCCTGCCTTAAAGGCATGTTTAATTCTAGGGTCTATGGAGATTTTTTGCAGGTTCCAACTCCTGGCTCCGACCCAGTGGACTGTGGACACTGGGGGGAGCGGTCAGCAATTCTAGCGAGACGCTGGTTTGTCTCCTCTAGGAGGAACACTCCGTCGCTCGATCCAGAAGTTTTTTCAGGAGTCTAACAGCTTGGCGGCAGAGAATGTTGTACGTGAAATGTGTAGAGACAAGGACACATGGAATAGGTCAACATGAACTAGAAACATCGGCTTGCTGAGCAAAAAATTGGTGCACTAGCACATGACCCTTCCGCACATCTTTAGAAAAGGGACACCAGATGTTCAAAAAGCTATCAAACTTATCGTAATTGATGTTTTTAGAATCGTGGGTTTACACAACTATTCCATATTTTAAAACAAGCTCCCCACAGCACCCTTCGACTTATGTCGACAGTTTGCAGCACAAAATTACGATATTTTCACAGACCACTCACCAACATCCAATGGAAACGACGTTTTCGAGGAAATTGCGGAACAGTCGACGTAATTAGCTCTTCTTGACGATTGGTCCTCTCACCCCAAAGGATCGAACTGCTTCAAGTCAAGGAAGCACCGTCTGAAATCCCCCATTTCATGTTATTGCGCTGTTTGCGAAGTAGCAACTAACAATTTCAATGCCAACAGCAGCCCACACACACTTTCGATGGCATTCCACAAAACTCTGCTCGTTAGTCGCACCCATCACGGACAAGCGGAGGGAAGGAAGGCACGCTTGTCAAGCTCTAGTGTCGCACTTTACCAAATGCACTAAATGAGAACTTTAATGTCCTTGTCTTCGCACTGCCATTCCTACTGGGGGGCTATTTCGTGGAAAGTTTCCGTGCTATCCGATAATTACGTTACATGAATGTTGTTCTCATTGCTTCTCTTGGTGGAAATTTTCAAACCTCCTACTAATGAGTGTTTCGTTTTCTTTCTTCTTCTTCTTCTTGCAGGTGATGGCACACAATACAACCGTCCAGCTCGGCGGAGTTGCGTTCCTGGTCTGCAAGGTGGCCGGCGTGGACAGAGTGGGTGTACATTGGGTTTGTTTTGGTGTTAAGAATTTTTGCATTGTTGTGCGTGGAATGTGTTTTGCTCCCTTTCCTCACTCCCGAAGCTTGCCTTCGGTAGAACGTAGTTTGATTCCTGTTTCCTTTTTTCTTTTAACTTTTTCGATATAAGTAGTTTGGATCCCGATTTCATTCATTTTAGATTCGATGGAAGCAACCAGGCGGTAAACAGGCTCTCATAAAAGGGAGTTTCAAAGCATTTACTATATTTACAGCTTCGACAACACCTTTACCCAGCGCACTGTGGTCCGAAATTGGAAAATGTGGAACTTTTTCCCTTGCATCTAACCTATGATAAAAATAGTGAAACTAACTAAGGTCTACAGCTAATCTAGAAAATGTCAAAACAATCAATATGAGAATTCAAAATTCTAAGTCCGGTAATTGCAGAGTTATGGAGCATTTTCATAGTAATTCCCTTCAATTTAGTTTTTCGATTATAACTTTTTAGTGAATCAATATTTCAGTAAACCATGCTCAAGACAATTATCAAAATTACGCAAACACACGTTTCTTCTGAAGACTGTAAGTCGCTATAATTATTCCTTGCAGAGTTATAGCATATTTTTATGTATCTGTAATTAACTTCGTGGGAATGGGACAAGGGGAGACACAAAAAATTCCTAGCAGCTTGAAGCTTAGGTCAAGTACTATAAGGTTATGTTTTTTTTTTGTTGGGGAGGGGAGTAAAACTACTGCGTCCATTATTTGAACTCTTGTAGTACCCCTATTTGCTGTTTGTATCATGCAAACCGACCACTATTTACCAAGTGGACGACTGATTGCCTGGACACATCTTTTCCCAGTCCAGTCTAATATGGTTTATAAAACCAACTGCTTCTAAGATTTGTAGTTCAAATTTCACTAGGTTGTAAGCTAATACCCAGAAATTAAGATCTACGCTTGTGTAATGCACCACAACTGCAGAGCAGATGTTTCGAGGTTTCACGTTCCAAATTACAGAAACGGCAGATATCACGCTGAACCGGACCAATATTCTTCATGTGATATCTACTAGGACAGCGCCCACTAGGCCAGTGTATATACTAAGAACTCTTTTTTATTGAGCTCTTAGAGCTTTTTGGTGTAAGTTATATTAGGAGTTATAAATCTTTTCGACTGGTTGCAGTTCGTGACAGTCATCCAATTGGCCTTCACCATTTGAGTTCCAGTTTTACCGTACCGTATGATATTTCACAGTATGGTTTTGGGCCGAAAAACTGTGAATTGGAACCTAACTTTGCGGGGTAGTCTGCCCTTTCATTCCCTTCAATGCAACAGTGTCCTGGTACCCAATATAAGTTTACTGAGTTCCGTTGGCACAGTTGCCGAAATGAGAGAATACATTCCCAGACGATCATTGATGTACATTTGTAAGAACTCAGTGCTTTCAACGCTGCCCTACTATCAGTGAAAAAAATATAAATATTTGCACATCTGTATTTCCTCCTCACATTCAAGTATGGCTACAATTTCTGCTTGAATCACTGTTGGAAAATGTCCCATCGCAACTGAAATATTTGTCCCGGGGACAAAGATTCCTGCACTTGTTCGTATTCCAATTTTTGGGCAAACTGTGAAAAATTTGATTGAGCCTAGACAGACATTAGGACCACCAGTTTCCCAATCCGAACGTGCCGTTTTACATACGTTGAAGGCAATTTCATAGTTGTCCGCTTGTTTCATACAATTACATAAGATTTTCGATAAGATTGAAGTGCATCCTCTTGGATGTAACAGATGGAAAAGATAGATGAATTTTCATGTGATCTGAGGTAACGCATGATGGATATTGGCCGTTAGCTATAAACTAAGCCGGGGGCCCCGGAACATGGTCCGATGTGACCAGTGGAATCCTGATTAATAAAACCATTGAACTGGTTTTTGAATGCTCATGTAATTTTATATGTCACATGATGGATTTTATTCTTTTTAGTTCGTATTTAGTTTCATTGACTTTAAAACCAGAACATGTTCTGGCCATATGTTCTCTTTTGGATAATCTTGGTAGCCCTGAAAAGGCCCATGGTAGTACAGACTTAAATCCTTTGGAAGATGATGATGGCGTGTAGGCAGCTGGATCCGCAAATCGGACAATCCCATATTCTTCGGTTCAATGATTGAGTACTCGCAATAGTCTTGGCCCGTCTGCTGCTGAACAGGGGTTGAACTGGTGTCTGCAACAGGTTGGTAATCGCGATGGAAATCTCAACCATGCTACGATGAATGGGCACTTGGGAGAGTCTCGGCCCGGCAACTGCTGGACACGGGTTGACCCGATGGTTTATTATTATTATTATTATCTCTATTTAGGAGATTTTCAGCCGCAGGCTGGTTCATCTCCGGATCACTGACCCGATGGTTGGAAAGGCGCTGCGAATGATACCTCAACTACGCTACGAGAAATGGGCACTCCAAATAGCCTCGGCCCGGTTGCTTCAGGATTAGAAGCTTGGTTGCTACCGTTTTGCTGGTTCCTTTTGCTGATCGTTGCGATGGTTCTACTTCCACACAGGGGTCGTTGCTTTGTTGGTTATGTTTTTTCCCCCTTTATTTGAGAGATTTTTAGCCATAGGCTAGTTCATCTCTTTTGTTGGTTATGTGACTAGATGAGTGAAAATGAAAAATACACACACTTAGATTTTTTCGCCGAGATGGGCACCACCGAGCAGCTCGGCATTTTATTTTGCTGGATCTCAGTGAAAAACTTGCCGAGATTCAGCTAACAAACGGGAATTTTGCCGAGATCTCAGCTAACAAACATATTTTTTGCTGAATTTTCGGGAAAATAAAATGCCGAGCTGCTCGGTGGTGCCCATCTCGGCAAAAAAATCTTAGTGTGCATGAGAGATTTTCTAAAATGTCATTGAGGTTTAGTGTTTACCTATGATTACTTGATGCTTAAATAAAAATAATTGAAGAAATTAGGGCACGGCTTGTTGGTTGTGAAGGTGTTACGAAGAGTCTCGGCCCTGCTGCTGCTAGAAACGGATGCACTTGCTTCCAAGTTTGGATACAAGATTACAACTCTGGAGAGCATTTTGTGTTGTTGGAGGCGTCTGGTTCTGAATATGGCGATGAGTGTGCAAAATGTTACGCAATTGCATCCTCCCTATTCGCACACGCCCGAAGATCGGAGGCAAATGCCACTTCGACTTGTTTCGTCTACTAACGACTCTCTGATGACTGTGTTGGGGAAGCAGCATATGCATGTACGTAATTGGTGGATTTGTTAGTTGTTTTGACGCTTTTGGATAATGCTTGACATTTACTACTTTTTCAATATTTTTTTGTTGATAATCAACAGTACTGCTATCCAGGGTGCCTTCCATTCATTTTGACTAAAAAAATGTTTTATGAAATTATAAAATAATAAGATATTATGATGATATTTTGTATGTGTAAGTAACAAGAAAAGATTGTAAAGTTTGTGTTTGACACATAAAACCTGAAAATTTAGCTTTGACAGAATCACAATGAGCGATTTTCTGCTCGCTTCTTGGCGAAGAGTGAAGAGCGAAGAGTGGGCGAAATAAATGACAAAATCGCTTATTGCGGCTCTCATGTAGCAAAATTGGCTGGTATTATGTGTCAAACCAAATATTATCATAATATCTTATTGTTCCATAATTTCGAAAAACATTTTTTTAGCCAAAATTAATGGAAGTCACCCTGCTGCTATCGATGCGTGGAAATATTTATGATCGGTTGGTGATACAATTATTGAAATTTGTTCAGGGGCAGCTGAGTTCTTAACGTTCAAAATCTTTTATAATTTCGTTACGGTTTTCACAAAGCGTACCTTCATATAGAAATTTTTCTTCCGACTTCTTCTGCAATTTTTAGTCATGACTATGCTCGGGATTTGTTTTAAATCCAAAAGATAATAATATCTTCTGAATACTCCCAGAAGTCTCTTCCAACTTTCTAGAAATATTCGTTTGATTTAATCGGAAGCTTGTCCATCTACCCACTGGAAGCGGATCCTGTTCTGATGGAGCAGGTTTATAGGATAGCGGAAGATAAAGTGTTTAATGTGTTGTACCTTTTGACAATAGTCTTACGATGTTTTGTATAGTGAACAAGAATCCTTGGCTCGGTAAAGTTAATTGGATTAAACAAAATAAAACAATAAGCAAAAATACTCAAAAAAATCGCTAAACTAGCCCGACATGAATGCACCTGGTCGTTGTAAATGTCTTTGTTGCTCTATAGTTTTTTTTAAGTAAATATAGACTACAGCACCATATCTGTGATGCGATTTGAAACAAATCTATTGACGTCAAATGACAGCCCCACACTCAAAAATTTTGCCAAAGATTTCGACTCTAAAGGGTGTCCACGATGAAATTGCCACACACAAAATTGATTCGCAAAATTCGAGTTTTCATCCGATTGCCATCAAATTTTCAGGGATTGATAAATAACTATTATACTTCATTTTACCATTTTACTCGTATTTTATTTACAGTCCATACGCAAATGCCCGCACCTTGGCCTTAACCCCGGCCATGAGATTCTGCACAACCTGTGAATCAACCGTTTTTTGCATGTAAACCCATACTTTCTTCAGTTCCTCGACTGTCTTCACTACCTTAGGTCGTTTAAGAAGGTGCTGCTTCATAATCGCCCAGTACTTCTCGATGGGGCGGAGCTCCGGAGTGTTGGGAGGGTTGAACATTTTCGGCACGAAATTGACCTTATTGTCCGCATACCACTTCAGCACGTCCTTGGAGTAGTGGCATGAGGCCAAATCCGGCCAGAAGATTGTTGGGACGTTGTGGGCCTTCAGGAGAGGAAGCAGCCGCTTCTGGAGGCACTCTTTTATGTACACCTGTCCGTTCATCGTGTCCTGGGTCACGAAAGGTGCACTCCGCTTCCCGCACGTGCAGATGGCTTGCCAAACCAGGAATTTCTTCGCAAATTTGGACATCTTCTGAGTGCGGACATGCTCCGGAACGCTGAACTTATCC